ATTTGCTTCTTTTCGGCATTCCGACAGCTCAAGATGGCCCACGAGGCCCCCAAGATCGCCCACGAGGCCTCCAAGATGGGCCCATGACGGCCCAAGAGACCCCGAAGACGGCCCCAAGACGCATCCAAGAGGCCTCCAAGACGCCCAAGATGGCCTCCAAGACGGCTAAGATGGCCCCAAGATGCCTCCAAGACGGCCTGAGATGGCCTCCAGATGGCCCAAGACGGCCCAAGAGGCCCCCAAGAGGCCCAAGACGTCCCAAGCGGCGTCCAGGAGGTCTTCCAGGAGGGCACGAAGAGGCCAAAATCATTGATGTTCCATTGGTGTTTGAAAGATTTTGGCAGTTGCTTCTTCTCGGCATTCCGACGGCTTCAGGCGGCGCAAGAGGCCCCCAAGATCGCTCAAGAGGCCGCATGACGGCCCAAAGGCTCCCCAGACGGCCCCAAGAGGGCCCGAAGACGGCCCAAGAGGCCTCCAAGGCGCCCAAGATGGCCTCTGAGAACCCTTGATATGCCCCAAGAGGGCCCCAAGTCGGCCCAGACAGGCCACCAAGAAGTCTTCCGACGGCATCAGACAAGCCAGGAACGCCTTAAGACGGCCAAAGAGGCCCCCAAGAACAACTGGCCCGAGACCTTGGCCAAGCTCTGGCCCAGCTGTCGACCACAGAGGCGCTTCCAAAAGGGCAGGGGGCGGTTGTGATTCGCCGTAGGCGTCTTCGATCCGCCGCCCCCTGTCGATTCATGGCAGGGGTGCCTGGCGTGCTAGATCCTTTCGGTTTTGGATTTGGTTCTTTTTCCAAAATAACTCACCCTGGGGCTTCGGCCCGTCCCGCTGGGATCCCGGAATGGAACTCAATCACCAATGGTTCCTCCAAGACGGCGCAAGATGGCCTCCAAGATGGCCACGTTGGCCCAAGATGGCCTCCAAGATGGTCCAAGATGACCTCCAAGTCCGCCCAAGATGGTCCAAGACGGTCTCCAACACGGCCCAAGAGAGTCCAAGATACCTCCCAGTTCGCCCAAGAAGTCTCCAAGACGGCCAAACACGACCCAAGAGGCCTCCAAGAGGTCCTCCAGGAGGACCCGAAGAGGCCAAAATCATGGATTTTCCATCGGTGTTTGAAGGAGTTTGGCACTTGCTTCTTTTCGGCATTCCGACAGCTCAAGATGGCCCACGAGGCCCCCAAGAGCCCCCAAGGTCGCCCACGAGGCCTCCAAGATGGCCCCATGACGGCCCCAGAGGCCCCGAAGACGGCCCCAAGAGGGCCCCAAGACGCATCCAAGAGGCCTCCAAGACGCCCAAGATGGCCTCCAAGACGGCTAAGATGGCCCCAAGATGCCTCCAAGACGGCCCAAGATGCACCCAAGACGGCCTGAGACGGCCAAAGAGGCCCCTAAGAGGCCGGATGTTGGCATTCGTTTCTTTTCGGCCTTCCGACGGCTCAAGACAGCCCAAGAGGCCCCCAAGGTCGCCCACGACGCTTCCAAGATGGCCCCATGACGGCCCAAGAGACCCCCAAGAGGGCCCCAAGATGGCCCAAGAGGCCTCCAAGACGGCCAAAATGGCCTCCAAGACGGCTAAGATGGCCCCGAGATGCCTCCAACACGGCCCAAGATGCACCCCAGACGGCCTGAGGTGGCCTCAAGATGGCCCAAAACGACCCAGGAGGCTCCCAAAGGGCCTCCAAAACAGCCCAAATGGCGTCCAGGAAGTCTTCCAGGAGGGCCCGAAGAGCCCAAAATCATTGATTTGCCAAGGTGTTTGAAAGATTTTGGCATGTGCTTCTTCTCTGCACAACGACGGCTCGAGACGGCCCAAGAGCCCCCCAAAATCGATCGCACAAGAGGCCTCCAAGATGGCCCCATGACGGCCCGAAAGGCCCCCAAGACAGCCCCAAGAGGGCCCCAAAACGGCCCAAGAGGCCTCCAAGACGCCCAAGATGGCCTCTAAGAACCCCTGATATGCTCAAAAGGGGCTCCAAAACGTCTTCCGACGGCGTCAGACAAGCCAGGAACGACCTGAGACGGCCAAAGAGGCCCCGAAGAAGCCCCCAAAAGGCCCCCAAAAACCCTCCTAGGTGAGGCCACACGAGTGCCCCAAGAGGCGCCCCAGAGGCCTCCTCCTCCTCCTTCTCATCCTCCTTTTCTTTTTCCCCATCCTCTCCCTGCTTCTCTTCTTGCTCCCCCATGCGTTCCCCGAAGTCTGTCCAAACCGACTCGGGGGACAACTGGCCCGATACCTTGGCCAAGCTCTGGCCCAGCTGTCGGCCACAGAGGCGCTTCGGGCAGGGGGCGGCGGTGATTCGCCGTAGGCATCTTAGATTCCATTGCGTGGATTCGCCAAAAGATCCGCCGCCCCCTGCTGATTCATCACAAAGCTGCCTGGCGTGCTGGATCCTCTTGGTTTGGGTTTTGGCTCTTTTTCCAAAAGAACTCCCCCTGGGGCTTCGGTCCGTCCCGCCGGCCACCCAGAAAGATTGCCCGGTTGCAAAGGGCTTGTCCTGCTCCAGACGGCTCCAAGACGACCCAAGATGGCCTCCAAGATGCACCCAAGACGGCCTCCAAGACGGCTCAGATGGCCCCAAGATGCCTCCAAGACGAGCCAAGATGCACTCAAGACGGCCTCAGATGGCGTCAAGATGGCCCAAGACGGCCCCAGAGGCCTCCAAGAGGCCTCCAAGACGGCCCAAGAGGTCTCCAAGAGGTCCTCCACGAGGGCCCGAAGAGTCCCAAATCAGTTGTTTCCCTATGGTTTTTGAAGGAGTTTGATATTTGCATCTTTTCGGCCTTCCGACGGCCCGAGACGGCCCAAGAGCCCCCAAAGATCGCCAGAAGATCGCCGGAAAGATCGCCCCGAGATCGCCCCAGAGGCCTTTAAGACGCCCAAGATGGCCTCCAAGACGGCCCTGGAGCATTCCAAGAGGGCCCCAAGTCGGCCCAGAGAGGCCCCCCAAACAGCTTCCGACGGCGTCAGACGGGCCAGGAGCCCACCAAGGCGGCCGAAGATGGCTCTAAGATGGTCCAAGACGGCCCAAGAGGCCTCAGAGAGGGTCTCCAGGAAGGCTCGAAAATACCAAAATCATGTTGTGGCACCTGTTTTGTTCGTGGTTGAAGGATTGTGGCATTTGTTTTTGTCGACCTTCCAACGGCCCGAGCCCGCCCAAGAGCCCCCAAAGATCGCCCAAGAGGTCTCCAGTATGGCCCCAGAACGGCCCAAGAGGCCCCCAAGCCAGCCCCAAGAGGCCCCCAAGACGGCCCAAGAGGCCTCCAAAACGCTCAAGATGGCCTCCAAGACGGCCCTGGAGCACCCCAGGAAAAAAAGCCCCAAGTCGGCCCAGAAAGGCCCCCAAGACGGCTTCCGACGGCGTCAGACGGGCCAGGAGCCCGCCAAGACGGCAAAAGAGGCCCCCGAGAAGCCCCCAAAGGTACAAGAGGCTCCCAGGAAACTCCCAGGAGGCCCCAAGAGTGTCCCCAGAGGCTCCCAGGGTTGCCCCTCCTCCTCCTCTTCCTCCTCTTCCTCCTCGTCCTCCTCCTCCTCCTCCGCCTCCTCTTGATCTTCCCCGCCATCGTCCCCCAAGTGTTCCCGGAAGGATTTCCACAACGGTTGGGGGAACACATGGCCCGATACTTCGGCAGAGCTTTTGCCACAACGCTCGGCCACACGGGCGATTCCAGAAGGCGGGGGGCGGCGGTGATTCCCCGTGGGCGTCTTCGATACCATTGCGTGGATTCGCCTAGAAAAGACGGCAGCAAGCCTGGCATTGTACGGCCAAACATGGCGTACAATGCCAGGCTTGCTGCCGTCTCTGGCCGTGTTGGCATGGTATTGTTTCGTATGGCAGTCCAGCCTCTGTACAAGTTGGGAGGGCCTGAACGCCTCCCCACGGGCTTGCACCCATTGCGGGTCGCAAGGGCCACGGTTCCAGCCACAGCATGCGCCACTGGCCCCCGGCGACCCGAGGCGGGCCCTGACGCCCCTCCAGAGTCTTTCTGTTTGTCCCGGAGCACGTCTGCCTTCCCAGAAAGCTGGATCGGGGGCTTCAAAGAAAATCTTCTACCCAAGCCTCCGATGTTGCGTCTTTGCTCAATCCGCGGCTGCGACACCTTCCCAGCCCGTCGTCCCTGGTCATCTTGTGACTGCCTTGGGGCCCGAAAGCGACCATCTGAGGTTGGAGTCGAGGAATAACACCAAAATTGAAGACTCACGAAACCGATGTGTTGGAGGACCTCCCCCTGTTATACCACCTGGGGACGCTCTGGCCTGGGTCAGCAAAGGTCGCGCCACGAATCTGTGCTGGCCGCACACACACCCTAATTTTCCAGGAGGGCCAACACATGAATCTCCAGACCTTTGACCTGATCATCTGGACTGCGTGAAAAATGGATGGAGCTTATGTTCAAATGCCCTGCTGCTCCTGTCAGGCCTTCTGGAACATCAGTGGAGTAGCTTCCAAACCGGGTCATCGGAGGCAGGTGAGGTGATGGATCGGCTCCACGTGGCTCCCGAACGCGGGGTCAGGAAGAAAGCACCACATGAAATCGGCGGGACCCCTGTTAGGGCCGACACCTGCACCCCTCTTGGCAGACAAGAGCGGGGTCCTGAATGGCCCTGGGAGTCCGAGCACTAGGAAAAACAGTCGCAGGATCCCTTTCCCTCGGGACCTCTTTCATTCGTGAGGAGGGGCACGGAAGGGGGAGACTGGATCGATTGGGGAAGCATTGCCCTGGAATCCACGACATATCACAAACCTATCGGCCATATAGGCCCTTGACAACGGAACCGCACGTGCCCCGACCAACGAGGAATGGGCGATCGGGGGTGGATGCTTCCCCGCCCCCACCCCCGCTGGGCCGATCACCCCACCCCTGTCGATGCCCCTGAGGATGCCGCCCGAAGTCCCCCCCCCGTGGTTGCCCCAAAGGGGCCTCTCTCCTTCATGGCGGCGCTCGCACCAAGCCCCCGCGCGCGCGCCGCCAGTCCGGGCGAGGGGGCCGCGGCGCCTGGCAGAACTCTCTCTGCACGCCCCAGAGGAGCTCCCAGAAGCTCTCCATGAACCCCTCGAGCGTCAACAGTCTGGCGTCTCCTCCGGCGTCGCCGGCAGCGAGACTACCACAAGGACGCTGAGTGAGGAACGGAGCCTCTCTTTGGCCCCAAGGGCACCTGGCTGCAAGAAGGGGCCCGAAGAACAATCGTGAAGGAGATCCGAATTCCTCCTTGATTCGGCATCTTGACTGTAAGCCGCTCAGGCTGACCCATACTCACCCTCTCCCTCATACTCCCTCCGCCTCCTCAAACTCTGGCGTTCGGGCCATGGGGACCCCCCGCCACCCCATCAGTTTGGACCTTCTCGAGGGATGGCCGAAAACTAACAAGTGGATCTCTGAATACACATCCCTCCACTGGATTAACTCCATCGCGGCCGCAAACACGTAGATGTTCGCAACACGGATACCAACCCCAACGGGCACAGGCATACATTCAACCTCGGTGGCTGAGATCAATCAAGCTTGAACCACCCTTTGCATATGATGTGCGGCATGCTGCCAGACAAATGCTGGAATATGCTGTCTCTGTTGAGAGCAGCCAACATCTACTACTTCCCTGATGGCCGCCTCCGCATGTACAGCTGGCTGATTGGCCTTCAACGCGGATCTGGTGACCCTCAATCAGTCCCGCAAGAGGAATGCATATATATATATGTATATATATATTTACATAATATATATAAATATAATGCATACATACATACATACATACATACATATATGTATATAACAAATCACCAGCGTCATGTCTTCCCCTTTCACGCAGTGGTGCTTTCCTTACCTCGCTTGCGTCTGGTGGAAGCAACCACAGAGAGGATGATGCGTTTCGCGAGTGGATCCAAAGCCTCACGAGTTATGTGAAGAACATTGGCTCGCAAGCAGAATGTTCCTCGTTCGCCCCTCACCCCTTCCAAAAGCGCCGCTCTAGGCGGGGCTCGAACTATACACTATACAACAAATCGTTTAGTCGGCCATGGAGCTCGGTGTAGACTTCCCAGCTTCCCAACTTGTGGGACGCTGAAGCGTCTACGCACCGAATTCCTTCGCCGAACTCCCTGGCTGTGGCCGTCTAGACATCAAACCTCTCCAATCATCGCATCCGAAATCGCCGCCGCACTCCCCGGTCACCCGGGGTGGGGGCCCGACGCAAAAACAAAGCCGGCTTGTCGACCAAGAAGATCCACGCACAGACCCCCTTACATTCGCCGGCCGAAAGGGCCAGAGGCGTGCTGAGATCTCCGCAAACAGGTCATCAATGTTTCCCTTTTCGCGCGCGCGTGGCGGCCCCTGGGGGTCCCGGGGCGACAAGCACCCTGGGCGCAGCCTGGCCACCCGTGGCCCAGGGATGCATTTCTTCTCCAGGCGCCTTCATCGATGCCCGCAGGCGAGCCCAACGGGTCTGGGATCGTCACGAACGCTACAAGACGTCCAAGATGGTTTCTTCAAGATGGTTTCTTCACAGCCCAAGAAGCCTCTAAATCGCCCCCAGCGATTCGAAAGGACCCCCAAAAAGGCCCAGAGAGCCAAACACCTATTGATGTTCCGTTGGTGTTTGAAAAATTGTGGCGTCACCACCTTGCTGGGCCGCCGACTGCCCAGAACGGCCCAAGAGGCCCCAAAGACCGCCCCAAGACACCCAGGGCCCTAATAACAATAAGAGTTTGAAGAAGGGCTATAATCATAACAATACTAAGGAGAACAATGATAGTAATAATAATGATGATAATGGAAATAAGACTTATTCTAGCAATGATGATGACAATACTGCTGAGCAAGATTATAATAACAATGCTATGAATGGTGATAATAAGAGAAATCAGAATAGGAAGACAAATATGCACAATGAGAATCGGAATCCGAATGATGAGAAGAATCGTGCTAAGAATAATGATAATGAGACCAAGAAACAGACTGAGAAAAGCAATAAAAATAATAAGATTACGATTAATAATGCAAATCAGAATAATAAGACTAATGATAATAATAATACTAAAAATAATAATAACAATAATAGGAGCTGTTCTCAATCTCGATTTGTACTACCACCCCTGTTGAAACATTGTTTCTTCCCAGCCGTCGTGTGGGGTAATGCATCCGAGGATCTCGCCCCCGCCACGCACGGCACGTTACCTTAGCACCGCACCCGCACAAACAATTACGCACCCGCACAAAATAAGAGCAGTGTTTAAGGATGCCTCAGGCGAGGCGCTTGTTTCAGAACCACAAGGAAACCATATTGCGAGAATGTCTGAGGCGGTTTGCTTGTTTCGGCGAGCAGACTCGTCTGCGCTCACATAAAGGTGCGAGGTGCCAAGGTAACTCTTCTGGGGTGCCGGGTGCGTTATACTTTCGCCAGACAGGGGGGGGGTTCTCAATTGCTTGATGAGGTCAAGTTTGTTTCGTAGATTTCAGTAGCCCATTGGCCGACAGAACGACGCGGTGTAAATGCAGGCCGCCAAATTGGGGCCCGAGTAGATGGGCCGGAAGATCGAACCGCATTGCCAACCCACCGGCGACGTCGGGCTGAACAAGACCGGGCTCAGGGTCGCGCCGCACCGATACATCGCCGATGCGGCTCGGTCCTTCGACCCCAGCTGCTCGGACCCCATCTGGGCGGCCTGGAGCAGATATCGAGCATGCAGCGCGCTGTCAACGCAATAGAAAGAGGGGACCTTCCCGAACCTCCGTCGCCGTGCATCTCAGAATGTAGATATCCGGAGGTCTCGACCTTTTCCCAGAAAAAGATGTACAATATTTCAACCCGAAGCGTTTTCTTGACAGTCATGGGGACAGAGAGGGGGCCGGGGAGGCAGAACATGGAGAAAGATCAATACCTCGTGGGTTGATCACGACGCGGTGACGTCTGGGAAAGGATCCTGGACTTTGTCATGTCGACCTGCTTCTCCGACCCGGCTCATCGAGCCCCTTCGACCACCTCCCCAGCCGCGGGCAGGATCGAATGGGGAAAGCTAATGGGATCGGAACGTGCGTCGAATCGGGCTGCGTCGGCACGGAGTCGCACGGCGAACATCGGGCCGCGCTGGATGGCTGGAATATCGGAATCGAATCGATCCAACCCGATCGCTCGGATTGAAGCGGGCATAGGGACTCAAAGGACGACCAAATCGCACGTGACATCGGAAGGTATGGCGACCCCAATCCCCGACGCTGTGGGACTCTAAGGAAACAACGCAGTTTGGATCAATCACTCGGGGTTGTACGATGAGAGGTGTCCGTCCTCGATAGGGGTGGGTCCGAATAGCCCACCTGGGGGTGTACACGATCCCAGACCCCCCATCTCATATATGTTTCACAACGCGGACCCCCAAAGGTCTGCATCCGTTCTCCGGGACCGCTTTCTCATCCCGATCAGCTTTCTCATCGGTCCCAAGGCCCTGCGAGGGCCCCTGCACGGGGGCCGTTCTGTCATGACCCGAGGGCGCCTGACGTCTGCGAGCATCCCTGCTGTCCGAAGGGGCTGATTCTTGCGAGGGGAGCTCGGGGACTCCCGAGGCGACGACTCCGACGGCGGTGCGACCCTCCGCGGCCGCGCGCGGTCCCGACGGCCGCGCACGCTCGCGCAGCGCGCACACGGAGCCGCTCACGCCCAGGACGCGGTCGAGCTCGGCCCCTGCCGCGTCGAGCTCCTGCGCGGGCCGGGGGCGCTCGGAGCGCGTCTCCGGGGACGCGGGAGGCATACGAGGCGCCCACCTCGGGTCGACTGGAGGCGCACGCCCGAAACGGACATGCAGCACAGCAAGCATCCTGTAGCGCATCGTCAACCCAGGCGCCGTGGCCAGAAAACACCCGCCTCCGAACTTTTTCCGTCGGCGGCGAGGCAGCGGCAGGGTCACACCAGCGTGGGGCTAATCGTGGCAACCGATAGGCAACTGGTACGGCGCGCAAGAGGGAGGGACGAAGACGAGGGCGGCCGCGCGAGGGAAGGAGGGCGAGGCCCCGCCTCCGAACATGTGCTGAAAGATTGCCGGGCGCGCAAGTCACCCCAGAGGGGGCCGACGCACACGCGGTATGACCATGTCCGGGTGGTGCCAATCTTCCCGGAGGGCAGGGCAAGATCACGATGGGAGGCTTTGGGCCGTTCTCGTCGGCCCGACTAGGCCCGACGGCGATTTTTCCAGCACCGCGATGCCTTTTCCAGTAGCTGCGCCTCTCCGAGAGCCTCCAAGGGGTGCACGAACGGCCGCCTGAGACCCGAGCTGCGAACCGAAAACCAGACCTCTTCATACGCTGAGAAGAAATGACGCCAAAGGTTTTGCCAATATTTGGTCACTGCCCATTCGTCGGCTGAACGCACTCAGACGCTGAACAGGATCAAAGGAAACACGGGGCGGCGGGCTTCTGTTACTGTTTGGATCTTTCCAATGTTGAAGGATAGAGACGCTCCGATGGCGCAGGCCGTTGAACATCGGCCGATTCTGGGCCACTGGCGGCGCTCAACCTTGGACAACCACGCCGGGGTCGCGGCCGCGTCAACGCGGCGCGAGCACACCGCACCAAGACCTCCCAGACGATTTCGGCTTCTTGGAGTCGAGTCTTAGCCCTGAGGCCGTCAACAGAACGTATTGGACGAGGCACCGGCCTCTGGGAAGGGTCGAACGCTCTGGGTCCCGCGTATTGAAAGAATCAGGCGACCTGGTGGGTTTGGAAAACAACACATAAATTGCGCCGTTTCTTCACGGCGTCAAAGCCCTGCCATAAAAATGGTTACTGGTCCATTTCTGTCATCCTTATGGTGGGTAGGTGTACCAGCAGCGCCTATCTACACAGGGACCTGGGAAACCCAGGGGCTTTTATGAAGCCAGAGCGATACTGACTTGCCCCAGTGGACGCGCGCGTGCTCAGATCTCCGACACCTTGCGCTTTCAATCCGAAGAAGAGGATAGTTGAGAAGAAAACAGTCAGGGCCACGAGGGGGCCACGGGCGTGGGGGGGCGCTCGGCGGCCACGGGCGCTCACAGCGCGAAAACCCTAAAAACCGCCCGCCCCCCAGGCGAAAACCCGGCATCGCCAGGACGAGCACGACGCGGCCACGAGGCAGCCACGGGGGCCCACCGTGGAAAGACCTTCGGAAACCGCGTGTGCAGACGAGGCTCCCGCGAGCGGAGGCTCCTCATCTTTGAGGAGCGAGGCCGCCCCGCGCATGCCTGCGAAAACCGTAGGGCAAAAACCAAGCGCAAACCATGGCGGGCGCTCACCAGGCGAGAACCATAGGACACTGCGTTTACACGCGAGGCTCCCACGGGCGCCTCGCGGGCGCGCGCCCCTTGCGCTGGCTGGGGTTTGCACCATCCTGGAAAACCTTGGAACGCTAGATCATCACCTTTACACCCATACAGCACCCCCGCAGCGGAACCACTCTTTCGGGATAGTCAAAACAAATTTTACTTGAATAAAAAACAAGTGAATCAACTCCAGACAATTGTTGTACTATGTTTGCAGATTCCTCCTGCAGAGGGAGATGCCCGACTTAACCCTGGTCCCCTCCCCGATGCCATCCTGACCAACTCCTCGAGCTGCGTCCAGCCGTGGCCACGAGCCTCCCCCCCCTCCGCGGGTGTGCCTAAGAGGAGGGCCCACACCGCCCACCCACGTGCTCACCCCCCCTCTTCGACGCTTGGTGTAGAAAGGGGCACCTGTTGTTCAAACATTCGGTCCAGAGCGATGGGGTCCTAAGGACAAGATGCTTCAAATGCTGAAAATTGACCCTTGGATCCCATCCTATCCTTAGGACCCCTTCCCTCAGGACCCCATCTTTGAATCACCGAAGTGCCCTAATCCACCAGCGGGAGGAGCAATGGAGGGTCCCCCGGTGGCTTGGTCCCCGCCTCTCGCTCGAGACATCCCCATGGCAACAGCTCGGGGAGGCATCGGGGGCCTTCTCACTGGATGTGGCCCCGCCTGGTGGTGGTGGTGGTGTTTCTCCTTCTCCGGTGTTTGCGTTTGGGTCAGTACGGCAAATTCGTGTCGTGCCCACTTCAGCGTTGGTGTCTGACACAACGGAACTGAATAAACCTGGAACGATCGGCAAGTTCTGACACGTCAGGTCGCTAAAAATCGACAAAGTCTGAGTCGCCAGCGGTGTTCAACGTTGAACGCTGGGAGCGGGGTCGCCGCCGCTCGACACGGCGCGCAACCCTACCGTACGTAAGTCAGAATCTGCCAGCCCAAGGTTGCATACAGTCAACCCGCATAGCAAGGATGGGCAACCTTCTCAAGGGTACCCTTGCATCCTTGCTCGAAAAGCTTCGAAATGGGCATCCTTACCATGCGGGTTGACTGTACTTTCAACGCCCGATGGGCACCCCTTCTCACCCACGGCGGGCGGCGGCGGCCGGCGGCGGCGGCCCCGAGCGGCGGCGGCCGAGGCCACGAGGCGGCCACGGGCGCGGGGGCCACTCGACGGCCATGGGCGTCGACCGCGCGAAAACCCAGAAACACCAGGCCGATCCACGGGGCGCCCACGAGGCGCCCCCCAGGCGAAAACCCGGCACCGCCAGGACCAGCACGACGCGGCCACGAGACGAGGCAGCCACGGGGGGGCCCTCCGTGGGAAGACCTTCGGACACCGCGCGTGCAGACGAGGCTCCCGCGAGCGGCGGCCGCGAGCGGCGGCTCCTCATCCTGGAGGAGCGAGGCCGCCCCGCGCATGCCTGCGGGCCGAGGCCGCGCCAGCACGCGGCCGCGGGGCAGTGAGCTGCGGAGGCAGCGCAGCTTCCGCCGTCGATCGAGGATCGAGGGATCGAGCGGTGTCTCTGGCCCTGGGTGTCCCTGGGACTCCTATAGGGGGCCCAGGTGGACTCCAGAGCACCCAACGCGATGCTCAGAGGGCCCCAGGGGCTCCAAACTGGGCAGGAACGCCGGGGACACTTTGGGCCAGGACCACTTCTAGCAACACCCGCGATCGGGATCGGGGTGCGCGGGAACTTGTTCGGCAACAGCATGTGGACCCTGCCCCTGCAAGACCGATTTCGGAAAACCCGTGTGGGGTTCGGACTATGAAGGATGTCTGCAGCCAATCGGGGTCCAGCGTGGGTGTCAGATAACTGTGTCGATTGGGTTTTCAAATGGTCGCAGATATTTGGACGCTCTGGCCAGGCACCAGATCAATCAGAATGGGATCGGGAAATCGTGCAATCGGATCGGACTGTGCGTTGGATCCGGCCGAACCACCACGGAGTTGGAATTGCATCGGGTCGGCCGCTAAAGGACACACAGCAACGCCATGTCCCATGCGAACAGTGGGGATCATCATGTCGTAGAAACATCGGAATCGGATTAGGTCGAAGTGGATCCTGAGTATGGACCAGGCAATGCCAAGGGTTGTCTTTCCTAGGGGGTCGCGCCACTTCCTCAAGCAAACGGAACCCCCTGAAACGTTCCGGACCCCCAAACACTCTCACAGACGCCCCCCCAAAAGTCCCAAACTGCATCGATCCCTGTCTCGCCTCCTCATTGACCCTCGCTTTCCACGAAGCGCTGGTGACACTTCTGGTGGAGACCACACTTGAGCAACAAAAAGAACATGGGTCGCACGCGAGATGATATACGTGGCGAACTTACGCCGCAACTTACGCGGGTCGCCAGCGCGACACGCCACACTGAAAAGGAGGGCGCTTACAGGTGGCCTCAGGCGGGTGGCTTACCTGCCGATGTCAGTGAAGACGACTCCGTTTCTCTGCGTCGCGCACTTGGCACTGCCCGACTGGGGTGCAGGAGGAGCTGCCTTGCCATAGCCTGCGTCGCCTACCCTCGCGCAGCGCGCCCCGCGTGGCTCGCCGAGCGGTGATCCTCGCGCCCACGCACCGTCCCCTGGGAGACGGGCAACGGCTCTGGCCCAGGCCGCGACGCGCGAAGCGCGATTACCTTCGCTCGGGGAGGCGTAGGACTGGAGTTTGGATGGCTCGGATAGGCCTGACGGGGGCCGTCAGGAGAACGGCGTGGGTCTGATGTTTGACAACGGGTGAAATGCGCATAAGATCGGCCTGTATCGGCATGGGGTCGAGACCAAATACGGCTCGGCAACGCCATGCGAACACTGGGCCGTATCGGATCGTCGGATCATCCAATCAAATCGGAACGAGCCGACCGCAAGCGATACCAACCCGAGATTGGATCAAAATGGGTGCTGCTCCCTTCTCAAAAGATATATACGGAGATCCAGGGTCTCTTGCACGTTTTTGGCTCTGTTTGGCTTCCAGAGGCATCCAGTCCAGAGACCCTGGAGACCAGCGATGCCCCAAATTAGAGGCTTACAGAGGCAAACAGACGTTCCAAGCTCCTTCGACTCTCGATCTGCAAGAGACGGAATGGCACTCCGATGACGTGTCTGTTCCGATCTCTGGGCTGGACCTCTTCCCCACGATTGCATGTTCGTCCCGGATGATGCTTTGTGGCCCCAGGGCCCGTGAACGTTCCCAGCGGCGGATATCGAAGCAGAACACAAGTAAAAGCATGTGACAGAGGCGCAAAGGGGGGAGCTGCATGCCAGCGTACCCGAGGCCGGCGAGCTCCCCAGACCCCCGAAGTCGCGATTGTGCGCCACCGTCCGGGTGCGCCGAAGAGGGGAACCAGGAAGGGGGCGGTTAGCGCAGCATGGAGCGAGGCACGTTCGCGGAAACGTGCAACAGCAAGACGCGGGGGCCATGAAATGTGGGAGACGTCATGGCCCTAGCCATGATATCCACACTCCTGGCCGTCCCCCCCCCCTGGACGCCGCCAAAGAGCCTGGGGAGTCCTGGGCTCCTTCCCCGGGACCCGCTTTGCAGCCCGCGTGGCTCCTCGACCCCTGAGGCCCAGCAGAGGCCCCCTCAAGCCCGCAAGCGGCCATCAAACCTTCCGCCGAGAGTTCCCCGCGAGGCCAGGGGGCCCTGGGCCATCCAACACTTGGGCGTGGCTTAATGGGGGGGTCACAAATGAGGGGGTCAGAGAAGGTCCCCTTTTGCGCCCCTTTCGGGCCCCTCCAGAGCCCCAGGGGGCTCGATTCGGTACCGTTTGGGTACCTTTTTCGGACCACCCTCGCCACCCCCCCTTTATGACCCCCCCATTACGCGGCGCCCAAAGCACGACGGAACGCCTTTCTCCGGAAGCGCGCGCATGCAGCAAGGTGTCCGAATCAGTCTCCTCCGCTCGCGGACGCCTCCTCGAAGTCGTCCTCCGGGGGCGCCCGTCCGGGGGGGCCCCGCGGAGCAGGGGCAGCACGAGGGCCGCCCCGGAGAGGGTCCTCCTTGGGACACGGGCACCGATCCCACCCCGCGGACCGCCTCTGGGCCCGTTCGGCGACCGAGCCCGCTGGGCCCCCGAATGGGCAGCGCCGAGCGAGCTCAGCTCCGAGAGTGTCGAGGGAATTGGGCCCGCTCGGTCGCCGAGTGGGCTCACTCTTGAGCCCGCTCGGCTGCCGGATGGACGTAGGCGCAGAACTGGCTCAGTAGGGATCCCTGGAGTGACCAATGGAAGCGGAGTCCCCATCTCTTTATAAAACAATTTGGAAATCACTTGCAAACCTGTGTCGGTCCGCATCCTCGCGCAGAGGACGCCTGAAGTGGGACCAGAGGCAGCGATTCCATGCTGGCTTCCTGTGCGCGCGTGTGCAGATCTCAATCATCTCCGCGCAGTTTACTCTCCGATCACACCTTTCCCCCCCTTGGCCCAAACAAATCACTGCCCCTGTCGCCGCGCGCCCTGCCGTGGGGACGCGGCCACTCGCCCTCTCGACAGTGTCCAGATGAAGACGGGCTTCTCGAAACATAGCAAGCATTCATTACATGGGCAGGAATAGCTATTAGACGTGAAGAGCTGCTTGTAATGAGCAAATGATGAACCTAGTCCCTGGTACAGGAGCGAGCCTGTATAACATGTTGTTTCCCGGAGGCAAGTATGAGACACGCTGTAGGTGTGTAGGACCTTTACTGATTGCTTCTCGCCAAGCGAACTTTCTGAACAAAACCCGTCGATGCTCAACCGCCCTGCCCCAACAACGCAACTCAACTGAGAACTGCATACGGCGGTGGCCATATCATCCGACGCCGTCCTTGCTCGACCTGCAATGCAGCCCGCTCGCAGCAGTACCAAGGACTTGCTGAAACAACTAAAGATGGTGGCAGATGGGAGCACACGCTGCACCGCCTCCGAAGGACGAGACGCCCCGAAAATCACTTGGACAGGGTAAGATCTCGAGGGTGATGGTGAAAGGCCCCCGACGAACTCCGCAAGATGGACTCCAGAACGGCACAGGGTAGCCCGAGATGGCTTCTAGGATGCCTCCAAGAGGCCCCAAGACCGCCAGAAGACGGCTCCGAGTGGCCATGAATCCTCGCAAGGAACCTTTCAAGAGTATGATGGTTTGCAGTGTGTGCTCGGCTTCTCGCCTACTCGCTTTCGATGGGCCTCTGACCACCGCATCATCCATGAGAAGTCCAAGAAGAGCAATAACGGCTACGAGGTAGCCTCAAGAGCACCCAGAAACGCCCCAAGAGGGCACCGAGTGACGATGTTCTTGGCTTTGCTCCTTGTCGCGCAGGCACAATCATTGGAATAACATGTGTGTGTGTGTGTGTGAATGGTCCTGACCTCTCGGGGGCATCCTTCGGAGACGTTTGAGCCACGGCGGCTCGAAGATGGCAACAACCGCACAAGATAAACTCCACGATGCGGCAACCTTTTCCAAGCTGGTGGCCTTCAGGATGTCTCCAATCGGCCCCGAGGCGGCACTAAGACTGCGCCAAATGGCCTCGGAGCCACTAAAGTGTATCCTCGAGAGGCTCAATTCTGGCAAACTCATGCAAGGTGTGTGACATGATGTTGCCCATCTTGCCGTTTCTCCCCTGGTGGGCCCCATTATGACTACAAGATCGGCCAAAGAGAGCTCCAAGAGCGCGGGCAGAGGAGCTCCAATACGACTGACATAACGCCGTAGACCGCCCAAGAGCGTCGCAAGAGGCCCTCCTGAAGCAAACGCTGCAATAATTGAGACCTCCATTGTTTGATATGTGGAGTCATGCATCGACCTTGGCCCGAAGCCCCCCTCCAGAGCCCCACGAGGGCCGCGAAAGAGCCCCGTGAGGGCGCTGAGAGAGTCCCAAGAGGGCCCCAAAGGAGGGAGGCCCAGCGGCCTCCCAAAATGGCCCCGAGAGAGCTTCAAGATGGTCCAACTAAACTTCCCAGACACTCCGATGACGAAATATCCGCGAAGGCATGTATGGCTTTCTCACCGGTCTGCTCAGGCTGATCCCTGACCACGGTTTGACGGGTGCACCAATCTTTGTTCCACCGCTTGCATTTACTCTTCTACGATCAAGGAAACTCGCCTTTGGCATCGGTTCTGGATGGGCTGGTGTGGATACGCGAAACGTCAATCATCACGAATTTAGATAACCTCGCCTGCCCCACATCCCAATCCCCACCAACCTCTGGGAGGGTGTTTGCCCGTCTCCCCAATGTCCCCCTCCCTGTGAGCCTACATTCTGGGTCGATGGTCGCGGAGCCGCCTCAGCGTTCGACCATGTGGACTCGCCCCCTGGGTGAGATGAGGAGGCGGAGGAGGAGTAAGGCGGAGGAGAATGAGCGAGGGACACGTCTCGAGGGTGACAGCATGTCTCTATGCGGAAAGTCAGGTCAGCGGGGGTCAAGATACGTCAAGGCGAAAAGCGTTGGCCTGAACAAGAACATGGCACCAACACCACTATCGAGCGTCGCATCCACCTGTAGAAGACGATTCTCGATTTCGGTGCTACTGGTTAACAAGCAACACTGGCGGACTTACGAGTGCCACGCCGTCGTCGAGATCGGGGGTCACCTCAGCATCGTGGAGGCGAGCATCGATACGAAGTGGCGGTGACAACGCTGGCGATGCTGGGACGAAGCCGGCGACGTGAGACCACCAACCCTTCGAGACCCCCGAACCCTACGAATATATCCGAAGGCATCGGTCACTTACCTTCGCGCATCGCGCCACGCGATTATCTTCGCGCCGTCGCGCCGCCACCTTGTACACGGGCAACCGCCCTGACCCAGACCGCGACACGGGAAGCGCGACTACCTTCGCACCCAAGCAGCTGACATCAGAGAGTCCTGTCCCTCCCCCAGAGGACCTCCGATGCCCTTCGGCATCAAGGCCGATGCTGACGACGCCGACGGCCCCCCGAGAGGTCTGGGGGCTCCTGAACGGGACCCAGAATGCGAAAGAGTTGCCGTTCCCGACCCGACGGCGGCATCGGAATCCTCTCCTCCTCCGATGAGAGTTCCTCCAGGTCGGTCCCCTGCAGGGGGTGCATCCTCGCGTCTCGATGAACAAAGGGCGACGTGAACAGAAGTTCTCGAAGATCCCCCCTCCCCAGCGCTGGACCCACCGGCGCGCCAGGGGCGGTGCCAGAGGTGCCGCCAGGGGGCTCCAGCGCCCATCCAAGAAAACCGCGAGGAGTTCCGAGAAAGTATGGATAAGACGATGTTGGTTCCTCGAGTGCCCCCCCGACTCGAGTCCCCCCATCTTCTCTTGAGCGGCCAGCCTGCTGGAGGGAAAAAAACACTGGGAGCTGGGTCGAGGGCAGGAGAGCACCCTTCCGACAGCGCACCCCGACCGGCGAATCAACTTCGTGGACGCACGCAGGGAAGGGATCGAACAAGGCAGAACTGCTCACAGAACCGCCCAAGGCTGCTCGGCTAACTCCCCCCGTGGGGGTCGAGGTGCTTCCCCCTTCCTGGACTGGGGGCGAGGCGCCGCCCGTGCAAGCGGACACGACCGTCCCGGCATTCCTATAGGCCTACGTACCACGACATGCTTTTAGAACCCAGAAATGTGCTAAGAACAAAAGCAATGTTCTTAGAGCATAAACCCGATGTGTTAAAACGAGACAGTCCCAGCCAGGAGTGTTCTAAGAACACGTCCTGGACGCAACAAAAGGCTCTTAGAACATTGTTTGGTAGGCCTGCAGGCGAGCCAGGACGCTTCGCCACTGCTTCAGCCCTGCGTGCGCCCGCGCGGCTCCTCAAAGTCCTCCTCGTACTGCTCGCCGTCGGCCCCCGCCCGGCCCTCGCCGCCCAGCGCGGTCCGCAGGGTGCAGGAGGCGGAGGGCAGCGCGCCTCGGCGGGGCGGTCCGCCGCCGCCGCCCGCCGGCGTCGCAAGCGTTCGGGGGGGGGGGGTCTGAGACGCCGCCGTGGGCGTGCAAGGACTCGCGGACCGGCGGGCGTCTCCTCTCCTCCCCCCAGTCCGAGGAGGAAGGTTCGGGGGTGCACGGGCTGGGGGGGGGGCATCGACCTTGAATCAACGATGCGTCGCCGATAGATCGGCGACAGGACGTGCCTGCGCGGGGCGGGCTATCGGGCCTGGGGCTATTCGGACGCACCCTGTCGAGGACGGGCGCCCTCCCCGTCGCATGTCCACGAGTTGGGACCCAAAGTGTTGGTCCAATCGAAAACCTCACAATGTCAGAAGCGGGGGTCGCCATATCCCACAGTCACTCAGAACCTCGGACATTCCTTTTGACAGCCGAGCGCCGCACACCAAGACCAGAAGACGGACGCTTCCACCCCGTCTCGGGCGTCCGGGGAACCCTCGCGGGGAGATCCAGCTCGAGACACTCGCACATAATAACGGCGCGGACAGGTACGGCGAAATTCCTCGTATGACGACAGTGTGCTTTGTCACGATGTCGAAGCTTGGAATATGGCTGCGCCAGTGGCACGTCAAGCTAGTCTGTCAAGATCAAGCGCGTGCAGTCGAACTCGAACTCGTTTCGCAAGGTCAATCTGGACGGCAAGCCGAACGACTCGCCCGCTTGCTGGGCACGCGCTGTGTCGAACGCAGCAAATAGTCGGCCGAATCCGTCGCCCAGCTGGAGCGGTGGCCACGAGGGCTGCCCAGAATTACAAACACAAAAACACAAACGCGCCACAGTCCTCGGAAGCATGATGGGGAAGCAAGATCACTCAGCATCAAACGGGGAAGTCGGATCGGGTCGGAATGTGGTTCGGATCGGGCCACATCGGCACATCATCGAAACCGAATCGGATCGGCTGTGGCAGCATGCATAACAGCGCCACGCAAACATCAGAGCACTTTGCATCGTTGAAACATCGGTATCCAATCAGGTCGGGCCAGCCAAGATCTATATCGAATCGGATCGATCGGATGAGAGTGGACCCTGCTGAAATTGTCTTGGTGCTACTGGGGGCCTGGAGGTCACATATCGAGCCCCGCACCCGTCCTGTGGCGCGCTAAGACCAGAAATTCAAGGCGGATTCGACCGTGTCGACGAGGAGGCACCAGGAGCCCCATAATTGCCCAAACGCAGCAACAAAAACCTCGATCGTCGAACCTCTGCTATCGTCGGACTTCGGTCATCAAGGATCGACCAAACTCCACTCAGAATCCGTCGGCGCTACCCTCCTGGGTCCATCCTGGCCAACTTCACGAGATGCGTCCACCCGTGGCAGCGAAAAGCTCCAGAAGCGCCCGAACACATTCCGAAACGAAGACGCCGACGTCGTCGATGCTCATGAATTGAACGTCGATCGTCGAACCTCGATTGTCGAGATCCTGAAATCAAAAAAAACGACACAGGAACCAATCCTGGGGTGCGCTTCGACCAGAATCCAAGGTGGATCCGGCTGTGACGATGAGGAGGCCCCACGGGGCCAAAACGCGTCAAGAGAAACCTCGATCATCGAACCTCGATGCTCTATCGTCCAATCTCGGTCATCGAGGATCGACCAAAATCGGCTCGAAATCCGTCCCCAGATCTCTCCTGGGGTCCATTCTGGGCAATTTTGCGAGCTGCGCCCACCCGTGGCGGCGAGAACATCCCAAAAATTACCGAAACCACTCCCCAGCATCGAACTTCGAAGGAACCTCCAGAAAGCCAGACGTCGAACACTCCATGCACGAACCTCCAGAAACGTCGAGCTTCGTCGAGATCCAGGGGTCAAGAAACCAACCTCAAAACCTCGGTGCGCTCCGCCCAGAATTACGAGGCGCATCTGGCCATCCTAAAACTGCCCCAAAGCCGTCACGGCCGCGAGAAAGAGCCTCCTAGCTTCTCAACTGATGGAAGGGGACTCCACATTGCTCGTGCGGCCAGTCCGACGACAAAGGCGGGAGGCCGAAAGGCAAGGCTGAACAGCGCCACCAGAGGAGGGGGAGAAGCCTCAATCATCGGACGTCGAACCTCGAGCTTCGAACGTACAGTGCGACAGGATCCTGGGCCAGGGATGCGCGGTGAGGATCCCAAGCTGAAGCCGAAGTTGGCAGCCCATGACCGATGGCTCAGGGCCAGGATAGGTCGAGTTGCAGGGGAGCAAGGACACAATTGGGAAATGACTGATCCTTCTGATGCGGCCTGACTGGAATAGAAAAAACAGATGGCATAAACATTAACTTCTGGCTTTCCGTGCGGATTTTTTGGATCTGCGCTGCATCCCCCTTCAATGGCGCGCGGAGCGCGCCATTGGCGTCGCCGGAGGCGACGCCAGGGGGCCAGAGCGGATCCAAGAAATCCACGCGGAGCGCCAAAAGTTTACTGTTTTTGCCGTTTATGCTTCTACGATGAAGGCCTCGCCCTCCGCTGCGTGATCTGGGGCGCCGTGAGCGCGCGCGCGCGGAGGCTAGAAGAGGACAACTCATGAAAACTGAACCTTTCGGTGGCAACTCATGGGAGCCTCCCATGCCATCTTGTCGGCTCCTGCGAATCGACGCTAGTCGACGCTAAATCGACGCTAGCCGACGCTGAATCGGCGCAAATCGACGCTACCCGACGCTAAATCGGCGCTATCTCAACGATTTCAGACACTGATCGACGGGCTAGAATTACATAACTCGGGCATGTCCTGCACGCGGATTTTGAAGAAACTAAGCTGTGCAAAACATGTTCGAACATTCTCGGAAATAGTCAAAACATCCGTTATACGTTTTGACTATGTTTCAATAGTCCTTCTGTAAAGGGACATGCCCCTGCGACATGCCGGACTTAAGGCTAGAAAAGGACGACTCACGAAAACAGCGCCTGCTGGAGGTCCGCGCGGGTTTCTGACATCGGCGCGCGGAGCGCGCCCAGTGGGGCCCCGGCGCCGCCCGCGGGGCCCCGCGCCGATCCAAGAGATCCGCACGGAGCTCTAGTTGGCGGCGCGCAGAGGCGGGTGGCGGGGGAAGGCTTCTTCCGAGTGCAGAAAATAATACCCCCCCATAAAAACCATCCCGACACGAGAGGCGGTTTGGTAAACGCACCCAAAGAAGGAATCGAGCAGGACAGGGCTGTTTATTAAACGCACAGGGCCGTTTAGTAAACGACAGTTATCGGGTCCGGGTGTTGTTTTCCTCACTTGGTTCTTAGAAGCAGAGGCTGCTTCTAAGAAGGCGCCAGCCCTGCATCTGTAAAGAACGCCCGCGACTTCTGGAAGCAGGGGTGCTCCTAAGAGGCCTTGCCTCCTCCTCCACCTCCTAAGCGTGGCCGAGGAAGGTCACGCTTAGGCAACTTGTCCTTCTCCTAGAGGGCGACGAAATCTATCCATGTCCACTGCTCCCTGGCTGGGCCTATCCTGAACCCAGCAGCGGTGTATACGCCGCGCCCTCCTGGCTTGGCCAGGAGGGCGTATCCACAGCTCCTGGATTCAGGATGGGCCTGGCGAGTGAGCAGTGGATGTGTATGGATCTCGTCGCCCGATCTGCGGGAGGCGGGGAAGGCGCGCGCCGCGGCCGCCCGCGGAGAACACCGAGTGCGACGGGGAGGCGCAGTCCTGGGCGGCCCGCTTGCGGCCGCCGTCAGGGGCGCGTCGTCGTCGTCGGCGTCGTTGTCAGCCCTCCGACGTCTTGACCTGCAATGTGCGCCACTGCGGGTGGCCTGGCTGGGACCCGTGGGCGTCGCAAAGAAAGTCACAGCGAGCGTCCTCCGACCACTTTTGGCTCCTCAAGGCTCGATCTGGCCAGGAAGACGCGGCGCCGCGAGGATCGTGACAGGACCTGCACGATCCTTCCACGAGCGCCGATGTCCGACAGCGCAGATTTTTCTACGTCGGCCGACCACCGGCAAAACTCAACCTTGAACGCCTGCGATTGGGTCGCATCCACGTCGACACGAACGGAATCTACGAGGGGACGGCTCAGGGGGGATACCATCGAGCTGGAATCGGCGATGCTGGCATCGCAGGTAGATCGACGATGATAGGCCTTCGAGAGGGGAAACCTCACGGTCTTGGGAGGTTCGGTCGTGGTTTTGCTCGCGAAAGTACGCGATAAAAGGTACGGTTAGGTCGGGCATTTTCTCGTACAGGCGGATTCTGGACGGAAATACAAAATTACTCGAACACATAAATAAGTAATCGGAAAATCGTCCTCTGACTATTGTTTATTTGAATATTCCTCCTGTGCAGGGACCGACCCGACTTAAGGGTAAGCCTGCCGCACGCAAGAAGGAGCGGCGGCCTCACGCGGTGGCTCACTCGGACCTCTTGCGCGGCACGCATCATGGTTAACGTGGGCGCTCGCAAGCGGTCTTGTGCGGGCAACTTGGGCGCCAATGTGGAACGCCGAAGAAGATCGTAATTCCGGTAGAGGGAAACAATGAGTGAACACCCCCCCTGCCCTCCAAACTCGAAGTTGGCACGCGCGGGGGAGACTGCGGTCGAGGTGCAACTCATCAGACCCACCGCCAACTTTGAACGTCGGGGGGAGGGGGAGGCGTTGACAGATGAATGTGGCATGAATGTTCACTATCTTTTCCGAGGCCTGTCACGGTCGGCGAACCTATCCATATCCACGCCCTCCCGCCGACGCATCCCGTGGACACACGATCCCGTGGGTACGCAGTCCCGTGGAACGGTCCCGTGGACACACGGTCGCATGAATCTGTTCCGCGCGTGCATCCGAACAGAAACGCCCTGTGTCCGCGGAATCGCGGCTTACGGACGCGGCCCGCAAGTCCGTAGCAAACGGTATGTGTCCCGCCCTCGAGTGCCATTGATGCAGTCACGAGTTCGAGCGGAAGGGAAACAAGCGTGCTGATTCCATGGGCTCGCGGCCTCCTTCTGATCGTCGTCGCCCGAAGTTCTCCGATGCCAAGACCGATGCTGAAGACGACGGCGACGGCGGCTGCGACGAAAACGATAAGCCTCCGACGTCAAATTCTTCCACGTGGGTCGCCGAATCTCTCGGGCGTGCCGACGGGGACAGAGTCAGGAAGAGGGGAGCTCGCGCATCATGGCCCGAGGCAAATGTGCGGACGAGGGTGCCAGGAGACGCATGGAAAGAATAATGGTAACATGCATAATCAAAATAGTAGTACTACTACAAATAAGGCGGGCAAACAACGGAGAATAAGACATTACATGGCCCCAGCCAGGTTACGTCTCCACACATCCTAGCACCCTGCCTGTGAGATGCGACGTCGCGAAACATTGCAACATCGTGAAACAAAACTGCAACCAGAGCCCGCGACCCCAACTTTCTGCGGCATCCTGCGAACCAGATCGGTCCATGAGGTTCCAGGGAGCCAGATCAGAGCGATAACGCCCTGTGTGTGTTTGTCTGTGTGGATGTGTGGGTGCGTGCGCGTGTGTGTGTGTGTGTGTGTGTGTGTGTGTGTGTGTCTGTGTGTGTGTCTGTGTGTGTGTGTGTGTGTGTGTCTGTGTGCGTCTGTGTGCGTGTGCTTGTGTGTGTGCGTTTGTGAAAGAAGTTGCGACGCCCAGGTCTCAGAGACATCCCCCTTCGGCGATCCCAGAACTCTCGAGCGACCTTGGCCAGTCCGCACACCCTCCGACTGGTGAGTAGCTCGGACGCAGGGACCCTGCTTCCACGCATCCGCAGCTTTGTTTCGTTTGTGTTTCCTCTTCTGGACCAACAGGGCTTACGTCCATAAACAAAAACGCGAATGCCCACATGGATGGGCGAAAGGTTGGGACCCAGTGATGGGGTATGCCACCCACCCCATCACTGCGATCAACCTTTCGCCCCAGGCCGCAGGCCGTTGCTTGATGCCCCTGGGCCCAGCCGCGGCCCCGGGCCTAGAGGGCAGGGAGGGCGGGGGCGGCATCTGCGTCCCCCCCGACGCAAGAGCCGATTTGATGACAACGACGGCTACTCTTTTACCCCATGGAAGACCAAGTGACTAAACAGAATGTCTCTGAGGTTCGCGCGGACTTCTTGGAGCGGCGCTGCAGCTCACTCCCTGGCGCGCGGAGCGCGCCAGGGGCGGCGCCAGAGGAGCCGCCAGAGACGCAGCGCCGATCTCAAAAATCCGCGCGGAACTCAGTGAAAGTATGTGTCTGCCAAACTGTGCGTTTTCGAGGCGGTTGTGGCATCCACCAGCAGGCTCGAGATTAGAAGGCTGCGGAGGTAACTGCCGCTGCGTCTTTTTTCAGGCTCTCACCGAACCAATATGACGGTGTGGAGTCTCAATTTCCTAGTCCTTAAAGTCTTGGACTACGAATGCCAGCCAAGGCCTAAGGCGGCGACGACAGCGGCGGCAACGGCGGCGACCTCTTGAGGTCGCCCGACGTCGCCAGAAGTCTCATGGGGCTCCATGGGAACTCAGAAATAGAGCCAACCGCACAAAGCTGTCAAAACAAAAGCAGCACATCCGAAACGACGTTGACCGGCAGCGGCAGGAAGGAAAACGACGGTGCCTCCTCCTCCTCCTCCTCCTCCACCACCACCTCCTCTTCTGTTTTCGGTCGTAACTCGGCTCTCTGGCGGCCGCCAAGAAGGATCCGGGCCACCCCCCGAACGCGTTCGGCGAGGTGCAGCTGCTAGAAAGCATCCGAAGGTGGCAGAGTCCCCGTCGCGGGCCTACGAATACGCCCGAAAACCTCGGGCGCTACCTCTAGTCACTCATAGCCACGTGGGGTCGCCGCCGCAGCAGCCAGCGCGCCCTCCGATGACATCAAGAACTGACTTTCTCCGATGCGAAAAAGCCTGGCTTCTCCATACCAGACGGCCCAAAGCGGGGCACGGAGCCTTCGCAAGACGGACCCACAGGTCCTTCTTAAGGGGTCGGCGGCGCGGCGTAGGCCACACATCATGGCCACCTGAGGTCGCCCCGAGAGGCCCCCAAGACGACCTCCGAAGTGGCCAGACGGCGCACAGCGCCCCAAGCCCAAGACGCCCCCGGCCCCCGAGAGGCCCCCAGCTCCCGAGAGGCCCCCAAGAGGCCCCCTGGAGTCTCCACCACGACTGGACTGCACGCGGTCCAGACGTCCACCCCGCGAAGCCCCACACGAGCCGTGGCCACCTAAGGGGTCGCCGTCGCCGCGGGCGCGGCCTCCGATTCCGCGCGCCGCGCCAGCGGCCCAGCGGCCGGCGGAGCGGCCCCCGCGCCGGCGGCGGCGGCCCCGCTCGCGGGCGGCGCGGCGCCCTCGCGCGGCGCGGCGGCGCTCACCGCCGCCGCCATCGCGACGGCGAGGGCGCGAGCAGCAGGCGGCTCGTGCCCCGCTGCCAGGGGCGGGTCTGAGGCCGACGGCTCCTGGTGCTGATGGTCCTCAGAGCGGAGTAGAACCGAGGGGCAACGACAGGGGGGGGCTGGCACAGGGGTGGGCATATCGACCTGGAATCGGCCAATGCATCGCCGATAGATCGGCCACGGGACCCCGGTCGGGAATCCGCACGTTCCTGGGCGGGGTGGGGCTATCGGACCCCTATCGGCGATTCATTCATGGGCAATTGGCGTTCGATGCATCCCCCCTATGCCGACCGCCCCCACAGTCGGCCCGCAGCATAAGGATGCGCGATAAGGATGCAAAGGCGTTGGAAGGCCATTTCGAAGCTTTTCGAGCGGGGAACGGCCAGCGAAAATGGCCAAGGATGGGCTGACGGGGCAGGGATGCAAGGGTACCCTGGGTACCCTGGGAAGGATGCCCATCCTTATTATGCAGGTTGACTGTATCGTTGCCCATGAAGTAACGTCAACGCCAACGTGTGCTTGCCCACCCAAGCCCTCGGATACGACGTGGGCAGCACAAATGAGGGCCGGCACGGACTGCGAGCTACTGGCGGAGCTGAAGTGGGTAAACACACACTTGGCCTAACACTTGTCCTGATGATAATCGATGCTGGGACGGGGGCGGGATTGACGACGGGCGACCGACGTCGCCGCTGCCACCATCGCCGTTATCGTCGCCGCCATCGGCCAGGCCTCGGGGGACCACATCGCCCCGACGTGGCTGTCGTCGTCGCCAGAACCGTCGTCGGTCGTCGCCGTCATCGGTCGTCGTCGTTGCCAGTTTTCGTCGGTCTTGGAAGACAATCGGGCGGGGCAGGGGCAACCCGACCCCTCCTCGGACCTCGCCGTCATTGTCGTCCTTCCCTTCTCCTCGTCCTTCGCTCCCCTAGTCCTTCGCTATTCCTCGGCCTCTGATGTCCCTCCTCCTCCTCCTCCCTTCTCGCTCCAACGACCTCCTCCCCCTCCTCACTCCTCCTCCCACCTCGTCCCTCCCCCTTCACCCTCTCCCCTGTATTGTCGTTCCCCCCCTCCCTTCCTCCCTCCCTCCCACCTGTTCCGTCCGCAACAATCGGTAGCACCACTTCTTACTGAAGGGCGCGTTCTCACCCGGATGTTAGAAGCGTTAACAGCGGGTCTAGCCCGTGAGCAGGCCGAAACGCCGTCAAAATCGACACCTCGGGCGCGGCCTAACCGACCCCTAGCAAACTATCCTCTTCCGTGACGTCCTCCTCGCCTTTCAAGCTTCCCTCCGCCGGCATGCACACGCCTTGGGGCGCGACGAGGGGGGAGGTCACGAGGCCTGGAGTGCAAAAGAGTTGTGCTGCATCCTCGGGGGGCCCTGTCTGTCCCGTCGCGGCCCTATCCGCGTCGGATCCTTGTCGAATCCATGTGGGCCTCGTCGAATCCGCGTCGAATCCGCGTCGAATCGACGCCACATCCGCGTCGAGTTCTCATCGAGCCCACAGTGGACACAAGAAAAGCCACGAACTTGGGAGACAGGCGGGATCCCCCGAAGATGCAACGTAAGGAGTGGAAGCCAGGGTTCCCGAGGAGTGGAGGCCAGGATGCCCAGTGCAGCGCGGCCCAACCCCCGCTCGCTCCCGCCGCGTGCGGCGTTTCGCCCCTCCGGGCGCCCGCAGCAGAACGTGCCTGGCCCCTGGGGCCAGGCCCCCGGCGGAAGGCCAGGAAGTACTCCCCTTGGCCAATCCTCCTCCTCCTCCTCCTCCTCCTCCTCCTCCTCCTCCTCCTCCTCCTCCTCCTACTCCTCCCCCTCCTACTCCTTCCCCCTACTCCTTCCCCCTACTCCTTCCCCCTTCCTCCTCCTCCTCCTCCTCCTCCTCCTCCTCCTCCTCCTCCTCCTCCTCCTCCTCCTCCTCCTCGTCCTCCTCCTCCTCCTCGTCCTCCTCCTCCTCCTCCTCCTCCTCCTCCTCCTCCTACTCCCCTCGGGGTACAGAGCCCCCGCTCCCCGAGCCGAGTCCACCCGTGGCGACGCGGGAGTCCAACGGCGCGACGTGGTCCAGAGGCCCCAGCACCAGGCGGAGGGGCCGGGAGGTGCAGCAGGAGAGACGGGGGACGGAAGAGGGCGAGGCAGAGGGAAGAGGGGAACGGGGGGAGAGGAAGAGGGGAAGGGGACAAGCTAGGTGCGCTCGCGTCATATCTGACGTCCTACCCCTCCCTCCCATCCCTTACCATGGCGCTGATTTTCTCTATCCGCGGACGCGTGTCGTAGCGGACCTGTGGCTCCGCGCGCGCGTGCGTAGTGGGTGGTGGTGCGCGTGCGTGCGTGCGTGCGTGTGTGCGTGGTTGTGGTGGTGGTGGTGGTGGTGGGTGGTGGTGGTGGTGGTGGTGGTGGTGGTGGTGTGGTGTGGTGCTGGTGCTGGTGTGGTGTGGTGTGGTGTGGTGGTGGTGGTGGTGGTGGTGGTGGTGGTGGTGGTGGTGGTGGTGGTGCGGCGCGGTGGTGGCGGGCGGATGGGCGCGCGAGAAAGAGGCCCGCGCTGGGGCGAGAACGCCATCCTGAACGACGGAGGCCAAACACCGATCCGAAAATGAGGCCCACGCTGCAGCGGGAGCACGATTCGGAACGATTCGGGAGCAGAAATGAGGCCGGCGCCTCAGCGAGAGCAGCATTTTAGAAAAAAACACAAGCGAAAACCCAACTCCGGGGAATCCTGTGTGTAAAAAACAGTACGCGGGGGGGTGCCGAATATCTTCCGGACGCCATCAGGGGAAGTGGGAGAGTATTTTCATATTGTGTAATTGTGGAGATGGGAAGAGGAAGAGGAGAAGGGGGATGCAAGAGGGCGAGGCAGACTGGGGGGAGAGCAAGAGGCGGAGGGAGGAGCCGGACGGCGACGGAGGCGACGCTGACGACGACGACGAAGACGACGACGTCGTCGACGACGACGACGACGACCTCCAGATCCAGAAGCCTGAGGATCTCGTCCCAAAAAGCCGAACGACGCAACAAGCACACCTCTGTCTGGAGGCCTCCACGGAGGCCCCCCAGAAATTCCCTGAGGGCCTCCGAAGGCCTCCTGGAGCCCAAGAGGCCCAGAGGCGCCCATAATCCTCCGTCCGACGACGAGGACGACGGCCTTGCAATCCGCCGCACTCGCGCTTCCCGCTCTGGTCTTCAGGTCTCCAGCTGATTACCCCGCTGCCGCCGCCGAAGAGCGGCGGCCCTGAGCCCTCTCGACAAGGCGCAACTGCTGGAAGGCATTCCGAAGCGGGAACCTGATCGGACAAGAACGGGAAGCGCCACTTCCATGGGCATATTGGGCACAAGGGCGAGGATGACGAGAACGAGGGCGAGGACAAGGCGCAATTGCTGGAAAGCATCCCGAAGCGGGAAAACCCCGAAGATCCGACAAAATCCCCCAAGAAGCGAGAAGGACTGCGACATGGGCCGTCGTCGTCGTCGCCGTCCTGTTGGTCGACGCCCTCCTCGGCCGCGGCCGCCCCTCGAGGAGGAGCTGCTCGTCCCGCCAACCCGCCGATCCCCGCCCTTCGATCCTCGATCCTCGAACCTCGATGCCTCGATCCCTCGATCCCTCGATCCTTCGATCCCTCGTCGTCGTCGCCGCCACCGCCGTCGCCGCCGCCGTCGCCGCCGCCGCCGTCGTCGTCGTCGTCGTCGTCCTGCTGGCTGGCGCCCTCCTCGGCCGCGGCCGCGATTGCCGCGGCGCCCGGCTCCCGCGCGCCCGCGTCGGCGCCGGCGGGCAGCCCGGCGCCCGCGGGGCTGCAGGCACGCGCGCCGTCGACGGCGAGAGCGGCTGCAGCCTGCAATACCGCGCGGCCCGCGCTGTCATCTGGCCGGCACTCCCCCGGGACGAACTTAGAGCGAGAGGGTGCGCGAATCCGCCACCGTGCCTTCAGCACAGTGGAGTGCTCCAGGGCCCATGCAGCCCTGAGAAATCTACGAGTTACAAGGTTTGACAAACCCGGAGCGCCGTTTTCACGAGGACTCTCGGGAAATTCCAGGCATGCCTGGGAACTGCCAGGGGTAGGGCAGCTGGCCCAAGAGGGCCCAAGGCGGTCTAGAGGGCCCCGAATCGCCGCACGATCGGCCCAAGTCGCTCAAGATGGTCTCCAGTCGGCCGAAAAACGCTCTAGACGTACCAAGAGGTCTCCAAGAGCCGTCCCACGAGGGCTCCGAGAGGCCAACATCACTGTTTTTCCTTAGGTGTTTCCCCAAGACCTCCCGAGGCGCCCAAGAGGCCTCCAAAGGGCCCCCCAAGGGCCCCCAGACGGTGCAAGAGGGCTCCAAGACGGCCCCAGAGACGCCCAAGACAGCCAAAAAGGGCCCAAACACGGGCCCCAAGACGGCCCAAGAGGCATCCAAGACGCTCAAGATGGTCTTCAAGGCGGCCCCTAGGGCACCCAAAGAGAGCCTCAAGTTAGCCCAGAGAGGCCCCCAAGACGTCGTCCGACGGGCCAGAAACGCCCTAGGACGGGCAAAGGAGCTCCCGAGAAGCCCCCAAAGGCCCCCAAGAGGCCCAAGGAGGCTCCCAAGATGCCTCCGAGAGGCTCCTAGGAAGGCTCCCAGGAGACCCCGAGAGTGCCCACAAAGGCTCCCAAAATGCCCCCTCCTCTTCGTCCTCCTCCTCCTCCTCCTCTTCCTCCTCTTCCTCCTCCATTCTTTCCCGTATAGATGAATCCTCCTTGTCGCACCCCGAGGCCAGTGGACAGGGAGGACCGGGCGTTTCCCCTGAGACTTCCTCACCACTTGTGAGCCTGGAGCTTCAAAAATGGCAACAGCTTCACAGATGGAGGGCGGGTCGTTTCCAACATGTGGCTCTCGCCGTAGCGCCGCGCATACTCGTGCAGAACAGTTGCAAGAATTTCACGGATTCAGGGCGGGTCGTTTTCAACACGTGGCTCTCGCTGTAGCGCCACGCGCATTCTTTTTCAAACATGTGCAAGGGTTTCCATGATTGTGGGCGGCTTGTTAT